AAGTAGGCGTGCCAGGATAAGAAAGATAACACATTAAAGTGGAAAGATTAGCCTGAGTAACAGGCCAGAGTAAGACTGAGTAAGCTTTGCAAAAGCCTGAGGCACAGGACATTTATCTAGCTGCTGTTTACTTCCCCAAGGACACTTTGGTTAATGACTGCCCACTTTAAAATCTACTGGCTTTTATTTTGCTGTATAGTTGCTGGACATGCATGCAATTTAACCGCTATGGGAATGTTCAGTCAAAGGGTCGGACAACTGACAACGGCTTTCCTCTATAGGCGGAGCTGAGAATCTAACACATAAACCCAGGAAACTTTAACTAAAGGTTACATCTACAAGTAACTAATTACAATTACAATAGTATAACAAGTAATCAAGAGCAATTAAATACGTGGACTTCCTTATTCTTATTTATCTACATAATTACCATGGTTGATTTCAAAGCGTGAACAGTCACGTTGACCCATTCATTCAATATTTGTGGGAAAGTGCAGCGTGACGATGTGTTTTGCCAAATGATAATAACACAAAACACTCATCATCCACCATCCTGCAGCATCTGACTGAAGCCTTAAATACTGTGCATAAAAATATTTATGTGAAACACACACTGCACAACCACCTGTGTCACAAGACAAGGCGTGAAACTTGCACTGAGATACTAACGGTACAGTTTGGTATACTTTGTTGTGTATTTTGTATGTTTTTGGACAAAGACACCATAGTCGTCATTTTCCTACGTACGTGTCCACAATACATTTTAAATCAAGCAATCAAGATGGAACTGACTTTCAGTTTTCATTCCACAGTTTCAAAAAAGAATTGCATTAACTGTTTACAGACATTGTTAAACTTTTAAGACCTACCACAGAACCAAGTCCGCCAGAGCTTATATTATATTTTTACCTGCTGTGGAGCCATTTTTGGGAGCATTTCAAGTTGCTATACATCAATACAACCATTATAGCCCAAATCTTAATAATATGTCTGCATTATGTGCATAGCAATTACATAAAACTGCAAAGAATGCGATAAACTACAAAAAATTGAAAATCGTTTTTGTTTTTTTAACATATATTTCTAGTTAGAGAAATTTAAGAGGCTCATCCCTCAAAACTGTAAATACAAAAAAGTTGCACAAAATAGTTTCCCACCACAGGAAACTTAATTTAAGTGTCTTCATAGTTTTATTTTTGAAATACACCAATTTTTATACACTGCAGGAAAAACGAAAATAAATATTATAATGCAAATTTGCAAAAAAAAGCAGCACATGCATCAAAATAAAATATTTCCAGCAGTGCAATATGAGTCCTAAGCATCCCAGAAACCACACAGAAAGTCATAAAGTCAAACATAACTTTTAAAAACACCAGTATAGGCTCATAAGGCCACGATGGTAAAAAACTACATTTCCGCAAAATGACGTCACTTCCGGTTTCGGGCAGGTCATGGCGGACATGTGATAGTTCGCGCTGATGGACGGAGGAAGTGTTACAAACAGCTGATCGGATCAGCAAAGCGTGTTTCTGGAATATTATGTTTTTGTTGTTGCAAGCGCTTTTTATGCAGTTTTTGCAAAGCTATATGTGGAAGGAAACCGTGACCGAGGACAAGCTGATGGCATCAGATGTAAGTATAACTCCTCCGGTTTCATATGCAGAAAAAATTATTGCGCTAGCTTACGTGGTTGCAGAACACCCGGATTTAAAAATAGTTACGCAAAATGGAGCGTGCCGGCTCTGACCGGTTTTAAAGGGTTAAACCCAGTCTCTCATTTCCATCATCTCTACAGAAACTACACCCATTCCAATTATTTTAAAGCACCGCCTTTGATGAAGCAATCAATGTGCTGTGGGTTGGTGTCTTGCAGCGTCTATCACCCTCAGACCAATGTGTTGGTGGAGCAGCTGGATAAAACTCCACAATTCTCAAGGATGAATGCATTTGGGATCACTGCCCAGACCCTCTGCTGTTGGGAGCTACACCAGGCCTCCACAGGACTTTCTCCCTTTGAGTTACTCTATGGCAGGAAGCCGCGGGGGTGTTTAAAGAAAACTGGGAGGAAAGTCCAAGCCCACCTAAGAAATACATTCAATAAGTTCTGGACTAAAGCTACACACAGTGGGGAGGTTGTCATTGGAGAATGTCCTCCAGACCCAGGAACAGGAACCCAACAGAGGGGCTAGGCCCAGACCATCTTTACCAAGAGGTAAAGTGCTGTGCTGCTCCCTTCCTCTAGCTCAAAGTTACTCGCCAAGTGGCAAAGAGCCATGGTGGGGGACGTTGACCTCCTCAAAGCATCGAGAGAAGCTAAATCCACTTCTCTGGCGAGCCTGGTGAAGGGAAAAATAAGCTGGGGCCGGGGACGCCATGTTTCACTATTCCCACCTCCCTCCATTGTGAGGACTATCTCACACAGGCCCAGAGAGCGGATGTTGCTGCAATGCAACAGCGTTTTGCAGATGTGTTCTCCATCCTGCCTGGTTGTACCACTCACATAGAGGACAATTTTGACAGGCGCCCTGGCGTGATGGTGTGCTCACGGCCCTATCAGTTACACAAAAGACAAATTGTTAAGATGGAAAAGGCGGAAGTGCTGAAAATGGGACTAATAGAAGATTCACGCCCCACAGTTTTTGTGGTGAAGAAAGATGGGTCTATATGGTTCTGTGTTGACTACCATAAGACCTGAACGAGGTCTCACAGTTTCATGCGTATCCCATTCCCTGGGTCGACGGGGTGGTTGATTGCTTTCGCCATTACCTCCTGGGGCGCTCTTTCACCATCTGGTCAGATCAAACCCTGCTGCAGTAGCATGAAGCATGAAGCATGCCAACAGCCAGATCACCCAGTGCTATCTGGCCTTACAGCCTTTTAAGTTCAAGCTGGTCCATAGGCTGGGGGTACACATAGTCACTGCTGATCATGGTGGGCTAGGCTGCACGGCTCCCCGGCCTAAGTCAGAAGTGGGGGTATGGGACAGGGTGTGGTCTGTGGCTCAGCTGCAGGGAAGGGGAGGAGCAGTGGGTTCACGGTGTGCCGTCATCAGCTAATTATGAGTCTTCTAATGATAGAGCAGTGATTGGCTGAGCTGGAGTGTGGCAGCTGGAAAGGTGTGGAGTGGACTGACTGAAAAACACTGTAAATAAACATACACTTGGGTGTGGTTTAGCTCAGTGGGATGAGCGGGCAACCATATGCCTTATGGCTGAGAGCGGCGGG